GTGCTGACCTGACCTTGACCTGAGGTCAACACCCCAAGCTGACCTGACCTGAACAAAAAGTATATCATTCGACGCGCCTGAGCGAGGCGAACACGATGCTGCCAAAATCGCGGCTCTGCGGCCATTTTCCGCGAAGTTATTCACCAAAAACTGAACCGTACCTTTGGGCACTTGACCTGACCTCAGAGGTCACCGGTTGACCTAGGACCTTAAAATCGGGTACCAATCTCTGCGTCTCGTAACGGCGCACACGCTCGTTTTTTCCGCGACCCGCTAGCTCCACCAGGGGCGAAACGGCGAGGGGGGGTCGTACCCGCCCCCCCCCCCCTCGGCCGGGGCGTATGTAGAAAACCAATAGGTCCGGCGAGGGTTAAGAAAAGTGATGGAATTTTGGCGCCGTGGAATTGGATACAGTACTGATCAGCGATCCGAGGCGCCATGGGTCGTCAGCACTTTAAGTTTACCGATACAGCTACAGGGACCCTGGAACCATAGTAACATCAAGACGCCTTTTGGGGCAACAAGCCAGCGAGCGCCAGAGTAAGCAATGTATATACAGAGTTAGGCTTTTGCGCTTTGCGGTCGGCGAGATACAGACTCAGACGTACGCTTATAGGCACTGGTATAAACGGCTCTAGCCCTAGAGAAGACCCGTTAACTACTCTAAAATGGCTCACGTCGGGTGAACTTACCCTCTACGCCAGAAGAACGTCGAAGCTGCTAGACCTTCCGGCTTCCAACGGCTACTAGACGCTAGGAGCCTACAATCACTGCATCGGACTGTAGAAAGACGACGCGTGCCTGGAGTGCGAGGAATCGGACGAGGGAAGACCGTCACCCATTGGCTGGTCGGCTGCTCAGTTGCCCGCCCAGTGGCATCGAGAAAGAGGATCGTTTATACGATTGAGACTATTCAACCGTAGATGTAATCTGAACCCGAAGTGAACAGCTTCGTTGAGTGGCTAGGGCGGCTGGGACGCCCGTATGGTGGTAAGGTAGGAAGCCCAAGGACGGAAAACAAACTATCCTGCTCATTGCTCCTTCGACATGTAGCATGAACCAAAGGCAACTGTTCTCTAAACAGTCTTCTGCCTGAACGACCTCCAGTCCGCCCTCGCCGCCTCTCTCCGCAACAGCTCAGCCGTCCAGAGCTCCCTGCTGACCTGGAGGATTCTCCGATAAAATTAAATAAACCGCTCGTAAATAAGATTATTAAACCGCTCGTAGGTAGTTTTTTTTTTAAAGGTAGTGTGCCACCTTTGAAAGATTTCCCATTTTATTTTTCCTAGGATAAGAAGCTTCTGTTTTTACCTAATATCGCAAAAAAAATCAAAAATGGGCCTGGAATAGTGCCTTTTTCGCCTAAAAGTTTTTCGGTTTTTAGATATGTATAACAACTGTAGTGGGCTCACCTGCAAACAGGCGTCGGGCAACAATCGCGAATGCGGCGCACTTGTGACAATAAGCAAAGGTCATTATAGTGTTACGACCATACGACGTACGGGAATGAGTTATCAGCTGTCTAATCGTAGACAACACAATGTCGAGCCTTAAACTGTAAGCCCGTATTGTATTGTTTCTTTTATTTGGCTGTCGAACATTATTTATGGTTTGAAATATGATTTTATGTAAAATAATTGATATGAAAAAGCCGTCTTATAAGTTATGACCCCATTTCACCACACGCAAGTGGCAGAAATGACAATGATCAGCTGACGCATTTTTTCTTGGCCGAAGTCAGAGCGCGCGGCCCGACGCACCACGCGTATTTGGAAATTCCGACCTCGACGAGCATCAAAAGCCACCTAACAGGCGTGTTCGAAACCGCAGGAGATGATGATGAACGGGTTTATCGAAACTTGATTGGATGAGCATATCGGTAATAGCGATTTCAGTGTGTGCATTTATTGTTCATAGTGGTGTGAAATGTGGTTGGGGTACGACCGACAACCCGTCGGGGCGAATTTCGCACTGGGGTACTCAAAATTTGAAGAATTTAAGACGTTTCCATGAGTTTTGAAGGTATGGATAAGTTCTAAAAATCCGGTTCTCCTTATCTGGGCCATTAACTCCATACGGTCCAAGAAAGCTGGCACACTACCTTTAAACGGCGAGACGATAGGCGAGACATTTAAAAGATTTTTCTACCCACGAGCGGTTTAATAATTGTATCCCGGTGACCTCAGGTCAAGTGCCCCAAGGTCGTCGTCACTGTGGTAGCCAAACCGTTAACTGGAGAGCGATCTCGACCCGATATTCGGAATCTGTGGTATCAGTAGTCAATTATCATCAAAATCTGAGGGGGTGCCTTGTAAAATCGAAAATGCGGCATTTTAATACCGTGCAGAGGTTCACTTATTACTTTATAGGTCGGTGACCTGACTTGATCTAGGAATGCGGTTGATGTCATCAGTGGCGCGGGAACCGGAAGGGGGGAGGGGCTAGCGGGGGCTGAGCCCCTCCAGCTTTTCGGCTGCAGGGGGGGGGGGGCTCGTAATGTATTTGAGCCCCTCCTACTGTAAGAGTCGAAATCGGAAATCTACCAACATAATTTCATAGATTCATACATAGGCGCGGGAACTGGGGGGCAGTGGGGGCAGCGTGCCCCCACAACTCTGGGGCCGTGGGGGCGGTGCCCCACAACTTTTCGTAAGGCCAGGAACCGTTGGGGCAGCTTGTCCTCCCCAAATTAGGGGTTGTGGGTCACAAAGGAAGAAAGAATGTAAGTGAAAAATCCACCTCTTTCACTGGCTCTGCAACTCATTTGGCAGATTAAAATCTTTATTCCAGGTTCTTCACTCAGCTGACACGGAATATATCACTTTTTGTAAATGTTTTCGTTTTTTCGTTGAAAAGGTTCAGGTGTAATTTATAAAATAAGTGGTCTAAAACCGGTGAGAAAACTAGATTTGGGGGTAGGTACTCTAGGTTGATCTCTATTATGGTGCAGCCCCCCCCCCGTCTGGAAGTAGTTCCCGCGTCACTGGGTGTCAAATGATCCGCCTTGAATCAAAGATCAGGTACCTATGCCAAGTTTCAGTATATCGTCGGCGTGTTCCGAACTACCGCGAAAAAAAGCCGGGGGTGGGGTGGGATGAGGGGCACCCGCCCATCTCTCCCTCGGCCGGCGAGGGTCAAGCATAACTAAAAAAACTGATTTCTGGCTACGCCACTGAACGTACCAACTTCATCCCAGGGAAAGATGGCAATGTAGAAACACAAATGTTTTTATGGCAATTAGAAAAGTCATTCAGATATGTATTTTCCCTTTTTAATTATTATATAGCCAACTTTCATAAGAGCGCAGTTACAAATTTTTGGAGCATTCCAGCCACTGGATTTTCCAGCACAGTGGGTTTCATATAGAGTAGCGCCATACTAACCTGTACCCACAGTTGGGCGGCGCTGGTGGTGGGTGTCCCCTCATTCATCTCCTGATGGACAATAGTCCATAAGATATCGGTGGAATTGCATGGGAACTATTTCCAAGCCATAGCCCTTTAGCACAGAAGAAAAATAGGTCCTCTCGGCATCACTTCTCATTCTGCTAGGGACTTGAAGGTGGTGCGCCGCCCGGCATGAAGACTGCGTGGCTTGAATCAGGCATCGGTACGCGTTCAGCAACCGAGCCCTCCTGTGCCGTCTGGTTGAGTGGTTCCGACCAATCACTAGCCAGGATGTTCCGCCGGTAATACTCGTCACTGATAGTGGTTTTCTGTGGCGTCATGAACAGCTTAAATTTTACACAGCAGCTGAACATGCTCCAAGTCTGGATTTTGGCCGGATGTTTGCCGGATGTTTGACGCCAGCGACGGCCGGCACGTTCGAGCTGCTAGCAGCCCACACATGGCCGATTTGACGGTTCAACGGATATCGCAGCTCGAACAGCCTCCCATCCGACCAGGGCACCTCATTCATGTCTTCTTTCGACCAGTGGACACGCCCTGGCCTGAGGCCAAAGGTGGTGGACTGGTTGTTTTCCCGTCAATTTCATTGTCTTTTCCAGTTTGAAGTGAATCATGATGTAGGACCTCCTATTATCTGCCTTGGTAAGAATTCGAGTCAGTATGCGGATTAATTAGTGCCGTTTCCTTGTCGCTATCTTGACAACTCTCCTCACCACTTGGCAAAGGACGCCTTTTGCGATCGAGGCCAGGCTGAGTCTGCCACCAAGTCCCAGCTTGTTACGCTTCAGGCAGATGTGCTGCTGGCTGCTGCAGATGTCCAGCTGCTGGCAGACCAGCTTCTGGCTCATGCCACCATGCCACCAACACGTAGCCTCACTACGAAACGAGAGACTGTACTCCCTTCTCTCCACTGCCTTAAACGAAAACTATCAAATGAACCCGTCGGCGACTCGACTCTTACTCAGAGTAAGAGTCATTTCGCAAGGTCAGATCACTGCTGAGTTGAGAGCAGATACCAGAGGTATGCATTCATCCAATTTTCCAGCCTCTGACATTAAAAAAGAAACTGTGCGAGGAGAAACAGCGAACAAATAGATGTCCGGATAATTTCGTTACACCCTGTAGAAGGATGTTTTGCAAAACCATAGTTTTACTTGCAAACGGCGTCAGCACGGAGGAAACGCACGTGACAAAAAAGCAAAGTGTAGTCAGACCCTTAGGCTTAAAGCAGTTGCGCATCAGTTGCGCATTGCTTACGTCAGTTGCGTGGTAGGTACTTCCAGGCTATGTTCCAGCAGCAACTTACGGCAGTCAGTTACAAGCTGCTTACGGCAGGTACTCCTTACTTACATCAGTGACACGTTACCTTCAGCAGTTACGGGTCACTTACAGCAGGTACGGGGTGCTTCCAGCAGTTGCGTGTCACTTACCTATGGACAGATCAGTGTACGGGCTACCGTGTGTGTGTATGTGTGTGTGTGTGTGTCTGTGTCCGTGTGCAGTGACCACCTTACAGTGCAGCAGTGAGCTGGCCTGGCGCGGTGCGGCGCCGCCGGGCGCATTGACCGCGCACGCCGTGACGCTTCCCAACAGACGTGCTGCACGGCTACCCGTGCTTCCTTGTCTCCATTGTGGGCATCGGCCTGCTGACGGCCGTCATCGGTGACCTGGCCTCCCACTTTGGCTGCACCATCCACCTGCGGGACGGCGTCACGGCCATCTCGATCGTGGCGCTGGGCACCAGCGTGCCAGGTATACGGGCGCTCGTGCCGCGGCACGGCGCGGCGCGAGCCGGGTAGCTGGTGGCGGCCGCTTGCACTCGCTGCACTGTCTGTTGATGCAATGGGCGGCAGCCGCCAGTCGCTGAGCGGCTGCGGTGGCTGGCGGTGCATTTCTGGCCGTTCTGCAGGCGCTGCAAGCAATTGTGTGTCTTGATGCCTGTCTGTGATCTGCTCTCGGCCATCTTGGGACGTTTGCCGCCGGAATGTGGTGGATGCTGTGATGGATGCTGACCTCGTGCATTGTACAAACACTAAACGCCAGCTACTCAAACCTATAGTACCCCATCATCCGTCAAATTGACGTGTTTCCTGAAAATTTGAACGAAATCTGTCCGATTTTTTCTTAAATCGAAAATGGCGTTTAAGTGACGTCTTGTCACGCCACGCCAGTTCAAAACTCTAAAACTTCCAACGTCTCTAATAGCTTCAGTTTTTAAGAATCGAGATGTAACAAAAAGGATGTAAGCGATTCTACTTTGTCTTTTAAGCGGCCTCTTTGTTTTTTTTTTAAATATTGGATTTATCTATATTTTTTATTTGTTTAAAATAAAAATAAATTTATAAGAAAGGAATTATGTTAGAAAAGAACGTTCTGTACATTACCTTCTAATCGTCAGAAGAATCATTTCAAAAATGTGTAAATGTTATTTAAATTCTGGTGTCATCACGACGAACAAAACTTTTTAGTGCTGAAAATTTTGGGAATTCTATGTATTATTTTCTATTGGTTGTGAAAAAATCAATCAGATAGAAACCTGTTTTGTTCTTGAAAACCAACAAATTTGGCCTTATTTGACCTGACTGTGACCTTACCTTGACCTGAACTTAATCCAGGATGCGGTGCATATTCACTGATGAAAATTTTGACACCCCACCTCCACGACGACTCCATATTTCAGAGTCCAAATGCTTAAATTTCGGTGTCTGACTCTAAAATGCATGGTCATTGACACCATCTTTTGGCGTCGGTTTCCGACGACGCCAAAATATGATGTCCTCCTGAGAGGGTCATGATACCCTTAAATCGGATCAGTGAGTTCTGCGAGGGTGTCCGACACCTAAAGAGGGATGTTTGACGCCTTTGTTGGGGAGTTGTCTATCTCAAAAAGGGAGTCGTGCATTTTGGCAAGGGAGTGGTAAACCATTTTATGAGAGCCAAGCTGGGAATGAGGTGTCTCGACTCCACATTATGCACTAACATAATACGGAGTCGAGACTCCTTTTACCTTTTACTCATTTGCCTCCCATAGAAGTTGTTTTACTTTCTTGCCAAAATGTGTGACTCCTCATTGAGGAAGGGTGACTCTCTTTTAAAAATAAATGACTTCCCTTGAAAACAAGCGACTTCCTTATGAAACTGTGTGACTCTCTTTTGAAAATGGACGACTCCCTTTGGAACATGTGCGACATTCCTTAAAAATGTGCAACTCCCCTTTCGAAAGTTCGATTCCATTTTGGAAATTTGTGTGAATCCCTTTTCATAATACACAATGCCTTAGTTTAAATGTAGGTATGACCTCCTTTAAAGGTCTCTTTTTGGTGTACGACTCCCTGTTGAATGATCATCCATGATCTAAGACTCCCTTTTGAAAATTTCCTTTGATAATGCGGCTTTCGCTTGAAGATTTCTTACTTATATACCTCGCTGAAGATTTACGGCTTTCTAACAAAAAATGTCACGCCTCATTACAGGAATGTTGAGCTCTGACGTAAAAAGTATACCCCCTAAGGAAGGTTTCAGACTCCTCTATGACTCCCTTAAACGGATGTTATAAAGGTGGCGCTGGCGAAAAAAAATGACACCAACTGGGGGTGGGGTGACTGCCAAAAAGTCCGCCCCACATGGGGTGTAAAAACTCCCTTTTGGAGCATCATAACACCGCTATATGGTGTCCATTAAAGCCGTTTCTTGGTGTACATGGACTCCAATTTCGGAGTTGGGATCCCCCTAAAGAGGTTTTTTGACTCCCCTGTGGGGCGGAATTTTTGGCATGTTACCGTAAACAGAGTCATGACTCCCAAAACACTCTTTCTTTTTGGGGTCATACTGCCCCAAAAGATAGTTTTTTTTCTGGAACTCCTGTGGGGCGGAATTTTTGTCATATCACCTTAAATGGAGTCATGACATAACCGAGGGAAATTCCAAGTATTTGTACTCGGAAGTTCTCATGGGTGAGACTTCAATGCCTGCATGGGAAAACCTTGATTCGACTCCAGGATTGAAGTCAAATCCATATGACTACGCGCGTGACTACCTTTGGGTTTATAATGTACAGCATGGGTCTTTCCACATAGTTTTAGCCGCTAAAGCATTATCACACAATAATCTTACATCATACAGACGTTGTGATGGCCCTGGCCAGTATCACAAGCTGTCAAACTCATGAAAACTATTCAGGAAAGACAAGATTCCTCAAACCTTCATAGAAAGAACGGAGAGTTTGACGCGAAAAAGGCTGTGTTGGAAAACGACATCTATGAGGAAAATATAATTAGCAGATAGTAGCCGTTTTCACGACAGGCTATCCGGCAAGTGCACCTAATTTGACCAAATATGCACCTAATCTCTTTTACAGCAAATATCTTTATTTTATGAATTTATTTCAGTGTTTTAATCGATGATACTCTGTGATAATATGACAAAGCAGGCATATAAGCAATTAGTGCAACCCGAGCTGATAGCTACTAAGAGACACACTAAACCTAATGTGAAAAAAATCTACACCTAATCTGCGCCAGATGTGCACCAAATGTGTACCAAATGGCCGTCGTGAAAACGGCTATTGGTAAGTTTTAGCACAGATTGTTACGGGAGGATTCATACATATTCGTTGCATTAACAATGGTCTAAAATTAAAACCAGTATAACGCCTTTTGGGGCGACTAACGGAGCGAGCGAGAGGGTGGGCCTTGCACGTGCGAAACTGCGAGGGGGTACAGCCCACCGCTAAAGTAATGTGCGGTTTTACCAATTTCAACGGATGGCTTTGACTGCCGATATTTTAATGCAGAGTGATCGAAAAGAAGACGTCAATAGATAAAGTTGCAGCTGCAGGGGTAACGATACAGGTTAGCTACATTCAAAGTTGCATTGTGGTCTGGCTTATCATTCCTAAGCTTCAGAAGCAGAACATACTCAGGATTGAAACCTCACATTACTTATGCTGTGGACTGTACCTCCAACTGACTTGTGCACGGCACCCTACTAACTGGTCTCCAGCCAGGGCATATTTTAAGGCACTTACTGCGTCCCATTTTGGGACGCAGCCCCCTCGCCATGGGATGTAGCCCCTGCTTATTTGACCCACTGCGTCCCTGCCCTGTCCGGTTCCCTGACCTGTGTCCTGCTGTCTGCCCTGACCGGTACCCGGCCTTCCCTCTAAAATGTCCTGTGCCATGCCCTGCATCCTGCCGTGCCCTACTTTCTGCCCTCCTCAGTGCCCTACTCTGTTCCTTGCCCTGTGCCCTTAGTCGTGCACGTGCCCTCTGCTCAACTTTGGGACGCAGTAAAAATTTGTTAAAATATGCCCTGTCTCCAGCGATGTGCCAAATTTGAGCACAATCGGCCCAGCCGTTCTCGAGATCTGGAAACGACCGCTGCACGTGCGCTCGTGCAGCAGCACCCCAACTCTGGCACATGGATATGCATTGCCTAGTGGGTGCCTACCTACATGCCAACTTTCAGCGCAATCGGCCAAGTAGTTACCGAGATAGTGCAACTATTACAAAACTGACACCTCTTCGTTTTGCACGTGGCACGCGCATAAGGAGTCACCCACATGCATCGGGAATAGTCCAATACTTGGTAGAAGGAATGAAGCTACCCTACAAAAATTACCGCATGTAAATCGGTCAAGTGGTTGCTGAGATATAAGCGTCGCAAAATCGTGACTACGGCCGGCCGGCCGGCCGGCCGCTCATACTCAGAAATTTCCGTTAATCTAAGGATAGACTCCGCTCGCTTCACTCGCTCCGTAATGAAAATCTAAACGCATTTCTGTAAAATTTATTAGCAGTGGTTAAGCGCCGCTAATGAAGCACGGCACTGCCACCGAAAACATCCGTGGCTGCCCGTGGCCGGGATGGTCCGCCCTGGACGTGCAGAGGACTGATGCAGACTGCGAGTCGCGAGCGCCACTTGGAGCGACGGCTGCTGCTGACATATTGGCGGTCTCTGAGGCGGGTACACCTGCATTTTAGGACGTTCTGTCATTTGAGGCCATTTGCAGCACCGTGCAATGCACGGTTTATCCCGAAAAAGGTACACTCTGTGATTTTTAAGGGTTTTTTATTTTTCTAAGGGCTAAGGGACAAAGGCACCTAAATAAAAATAGGAAAGATGATCCACCTGCATTTTAGGGCGTTCTGTCATTTGGGACCATTTGCAACGCCGTGCAATGCACGGTTTCCCCCGAAAAAGGTACACTCTGTGACTTTTTAGGGTTTTTGATTTTTTTAAGGGACAAGGGTCCCTTGAATGAAAAATCGGAAAGATGAACCACCTGCATTTTAAGGCTTTATTTCAATTGGGACCATATGCAACGCCGTGCAATGCATCGTTTTCTCGGAAAAACGTACACTCTGTATTTTTTAGGGTTTTTGATTTTTAAGGGACAAGGGCTCTTTATATAAATAAAATCGGAAAGATGACCCACCTGCATTTTAAGGCTTTCTTTCATTTGGGACCAGTTGCAACGCCTTGCAATGGACCGTTTTCCCGGAAAAAGGTGATTTTTTAGGTTTTTTATTCTATTAACCCGCGCCCCAGTGGCGGTATCAGCCAGCTTCGCCATAGTGGGGGGGGGGGGGCATATGTTACAACCCACCTCTAATTAAAAAACTAAGAGGGCTAGAAAGACGCGGTAAAAAGCAGTCGATGCTCTCAATGCGTACGTTTGAAAGTATTCAGTCATTTTTCATCTTAGAGCAATATTGGGGTCACCAGAGGTCATCAAAGGTCAAAATTTGTCA